GTCGGATTATCGAGTCACGACTGTATATATATATATACAGGTGCTGGTCATATAATTAGAATATCATGAAAAAGTGTATTTATTTCAGTAATTCCATTCAAAAAGGGAAACGTGTATATTATATTCATTCATTACACACAGACTGATGTATTTCAAATGTTTATTTCTCTTAATTTTGATGATTATACCTGAATACTAATGAAAATCCCAAATTCACTACCTCAGAAAATTAGAATATTGTGGAAAGGTTCAATATTGGCGACACCTGGTGCCACATTCTAATCAGCTAGTTAACTAAAAACACCTGCAAAGGCCTTTAAATGGTCCCTCAGTCTAGTTCTGTAGGCTACACAATCATGGGGAAGACTGCTGACCTGACAGTTGTCCAAAAGACAACCATTGACACCTTGCACAAGGAGGGCAAGAGACAAAATTTCATTGCTAAAGAGGCTGGCTGTTCACAGAGCTCTGTGTCCAAGCACATCAATAGAGAGGCGAAGGGAAGGGAAAGATGTGGTAGAAAAAAGTGTACAAGCAACAGGGATAACCGCACCCTGGAGAGGATTGTGAAGCGAAACCCATTCAAAAATGTGGAGGAGATTCACACAGAGTGGACTGCAGCTGGAGTCAGTGCCTCTAGAACCACCACACAGACGTATGCAGGACCGGGTTTCAGCTGTCGCATCCTTGTGTCAAGCCACTCTTGAACAAGAGACAGCGTCAGAAGCGTCTTGCCTGGGCTAAAGACCATAAGGACTGGACTGCTGCTGAGTGGTCCAAAGTTATGTTCTCTGATGAACGTAAATGTTGCATGTCCTTTGGAAATCAAGGTCCCAGAGTCTGGAGGAAGAGAGGAGAGGCACAGAATCCACGTTGCTTGAGGTCGAGTGTAAAGTTTCCACAGTCAGTGATGGTTTGGGATGCCATGTCATCTGCTGGTGTTGGTCCACTGCGTTTTCTTAGATTCAAGGTCAACGCAGCTGTCTACCAGGAGGTTTTAGAGTATTTCATGCTTCCTACTGCTGACCAAGTTTATGGAGATGCAGATTTTATTTTCCAACAGGACTTGGCACCTGCACACAGTGCCAAAGCTACCAGTACCTGGTTTAAGGACCATGGTATCCCTGTTCTTAATTGGCCAGCAAACTCGCCTGACCTTAACCCCATAGAAAATCTATGGGGTATTGTGAAGAGGAAGATGCGATACGCCAGACCCAACAATGCAGAAGAGCTGAAGGCCACTATCAGAGCTACCTGGGCTCTCATAACACCTGAGCAGTGCCCCAGACTGGTCGACTCCATGCCACGCCGCATTGCTGCAGTAATTCAGGCAAAAGGAGCCCCAACTAAGTATTGAGTGCTGTACATGCTCATACTTTTCATGTTCATACTTTTCAGTTGGCCAGCATTTCAAGAAATTCTTTTTTGTATCGGTTGTAAGTAATATTCTAATTTTCTAGTATAGTAAATTTGGGATTTTCATTAGTATTCAGGTATAATCATCAAAATTAAGAGAAATAAACATTTGAAATACATCAGTCTGTGTCTAATGAATGAATATAATATACACGTTTCCCTTTTTGAATGGAATTGCTGAAATAAATAAACTTTTTCATGATATTCTAATTATATGACCAGCACCTGTAAATCCAGGTTTCTACCGTGATGTTTTGGGGCTACATAAGTATTATTCATATTAGTTTAATATAATGAGGTTTAGAGATTTTTGTAAAAAGATTGTTTTTGTGGCATCTATTTAATTTTTTGACAATGTAGAGAGAAGAGAAACAAGAGCAGAGGAGATAAACTGTGGACACAGCAATGTGTTTTGACCATTTGGCCACCAGCTGCCCTCACAGATTTTAAATCAAGGACATAGAAAGCACTCATATTGGCTCATTGCTGCGTGCTGGCAGATATCCTGAAGTAAAAGTTTTGGAAATGGAGCCAAAAAGGACTGCTGCATAACTAATTCAGGACATATGGGGTTTGAACAGTTTCTGTTGTGTGACATCCAAGTCTTGGATTCCTATTGGAGAAGTCAGATATGTCCTGAAAGCTCGAATACATATTTATTGATGAAGTGGTTGGAGAGAGAAACAAATGTGAGTTTGATTTTAATCCTACTGAAGAACATGACAGAGGCATTGTTGGTCATCTGTTCGTTTTGCTCATCTCTTCCCACAAATCCAGACGTGTGTGCAGCTAAATAGAAAAAAATTATTTCCAATGGCAGCTCTGAAACATAAAGTCTTTGTAATGAAGTTGAGCTTCATTACCTACAAGAGTGACATTCTGGGATAAATATAAGACACCAGACAACGAGGGTGGGATGAGTTTAATGAGTGTAGATTGTGCTGCCATGTGCTGTTCGGTGGTTTCTCCTCGCGGCGCTGAGTGACAACGGTAGTGAGGCCTAAAAGAGAAAGGAAGCAGTTTCAGGAACAGGATTAAGTACCTGGACTTAATCGGTAGCTGAATGACCATAGCAGCGGGTATGTGGCATTATTTTAGGTGTGGATCATGTGCAGATTGAAAGCGTGTGACGACTCACCTCTCTTTTGTCTCCTCAGGTGTTCCAGCCAAAAGAGTCCCCCATGCGCTGGAACACCTTCTCAAAGGTTCCGGGGCAAACCAAATGTAGACGAGGAGAGGGGGGATAATAATTTCCCTAGGTGATAAAATAATTGCAATTGTTTGATGGAGATGTTGGAAGTTGTTTTTATGAAATAAAGATTTAGTTTTAATGTTTGTCATTAGAGTTAAAGTA